GCTAAAACCTGAGTCTGATTAAAGATATGCAGCCTATTTAATTTGGGGTTCCATCCTGGGGTGGGAGGAGGTGGTGAATGTGAATTAGGACCCTTCCCCATCTTTGCTGATTCCTCTTGTCCCCTCTCCTTTGTACTATAGCTGTGTCACCTTTCCTTTGTCTTATACTGTCTCACCATCTAGTGGCCACCTGAAATACCAACTAACCTTCTCCATCTCTAGGCCCTTCTAAAGCCAGTCATTAAAGCATTCATATTTTGGTGGCAGTGGGCAGAAGAACCTTTGAATGATGTATATAATAAGTTATAATAAGTTAATTAAATGTCCTTCAGCAAATATACAGGAATTACATGGACACTTCCTAAGATATCAAAAGCCCACTGTGGGGGGAGAAATCAAGGGGCCAGTTATAAATAAGGTATGCCTTTTTTAGGTGGAGCCCATAGGGCTTCTGTTTAAATTCTCTGGACACTTGTGAATTGCAATAGATAGGTGCAGATTACAAACAGTATGTTTTTGAAAGGATGTGTTCAAGTCCCAGCAACTTGAGTAGGTACTTACACACTTCTCAAGTAAGACCATCTATCCTTGATAGATTTTTGTTGTTGTTGTTGTTTGTTTGTTTTGTTTTGCATCAACTAAATCAACCAGTTACTTTTACAGCTCTAGAAACTGAGGCTCGGATATGGGGGTCCCAGAAGTCCAGGGACTTTGGATGGATACTAGCTAGGATGCAGGACACTTGTGCCTATTTCCTTTGACAAAGGTGTATTAAGCAGCCCTTCTTGGTTCCCAGACTGTATCTCAATGCCTGGCCTTAATGTCTGTGTATCATCATAAGCATTATCGTTTTCTGTTTGCTTTTTCAAAAATCCCTCAGCTTCAAACTTACCTGGATACAGGTTCCCTGTAAAAAAACCTTCATAGTAATTTACATATTAGCAATCAGTTTGATACAAGACAAATTACTCCTATAGGAAAGAGGAGAGAGGTGTTGTGATCTTTTGATTGAGTGGAGAGGCAAGAACCAGAGTGAATCTCTTGCTGGCTACATTCTGATTTCTTTGCAAGAAGTGGCACTCCCTTGGCAGTGACACTGAGCTTGTGAAAGCTTCATAGTGACACTTCTGAGAAAGTAGGTACATGAGGTTTTTCTTCCCCATTATCAACTCATTAGAGGAAATTTAAAGTACTTACTCTGTCCCCCACACATAATGTGTGACAGTGTCGGAAACATTGACTGACTCATCATAAATTTGAAATCGAATAGCAATTTATAGTACCTTTATACCTCTCTCCTCACCCCAAATTGAATCATTAAAACACACTTAGTAAGATCCGATGTTCAAGGTCTGTGGGCAGAACTCCACAAATCGGAATACTTGTGAATTCTCTTGAGGTTTAACAATTACTCTGCAAGGCATCTGGGGTTTTTACCTCTCAGTAAGTACAGCAGAGGCACCCTCCCCTGTCACAGGCTGCTTGTCTAACAATCTTCCCTTGTTACAACTCCCAGTTGTCACATGTGTAAGACTGCTTAAGTCATTCTAACTGAAAGGTGTGTGTCTTCTACTTGTTAGGGACCAAAGCACCCAATGCCTCAACAGTGTGTGTGTGATGATTGACAATATAAAAGAAATGCATTTTCTGTGTGGTTCCCTACCTCTTTCTTGGAGGTCTTGTCCTCTTCAATTCCCACCGTCTGGCCTTCATCACCATCTAGCTGCTGGGAAGGAAACTAAAGACACTTTTTTTTTTTTTTTAAACGTGTAAAAATCATAGAACAATTCAAGCTCAAGTCCTTGGGATAAGTCACAGTATTGAATTGATTTACAGACAGAAGCTAATAATGAGCAAGAGAAAGGGGAAGGGGTAAGCAGGGTAATGGGTGAGACCTTCTCAGGACTAGTAAAATAGCTATCCCTTCGTCTCTATGCCACGTCGCCCACCTGAAAGTGACTTCACTTTCAATCATAAATTTGATAAGGTGCCATTTGTCCACTGCTTGAGTAGAGCTTCATTTACAAAATGTTACAAAGAGTGTACTCTGAAATGTAGAGACAGAAAGGGAGACAGAGGTTCCTGCTACTTCTAGATCTTGGAAGTGAACAGTCTCCTGTGAGATACAGAGTAAAGCTGAACCACACCCTCACCTGTGCAGGGAGAAAAAAAAAATCAAGGAAGAAAAGAAATTTTCTAAAAATAACACTTAATATTTGGGGGCCAGTTACTGAGCTGAATATCCTTCAAAAGCCTTCTAGAGATTTCTCCAAAGTCATTTCATGTCTGGTATCTTGCTTTCTTTTTAGAGGAATTAAAAAAAAAAAAAATCCAAAAAACAAACTCCTCCCAGTTGTTTTGGAAACCCGCCTTGTTCAAGGGCCAGGTCTAGCCCTACCCCATGGCCAGTTGGCATCTGAGATTCCCACTGGTCTTTCTAAGTTGTGAAGAGGTTCCTTTGGACTTGAAGATTCCTCAGTAGCACTCCAAAAAGGGAGCCATTTTTCTCTCACTCCCTAAAGAGAGCTTGATCTTATCAAAGATTCATCTAGTCCAATTCAATGAAATCTGTTATGGTGGGTGTGAGGATTCATGTTCCTATTGTGGGGGGCCACCAGGGGTAGAGAAGGTTAATTAGATTCACCACTGCTTTTAGTTCCCTTTGGTTGCTTTAATTAATGGTGAGACCCTGCTGCATCAATTGGCTCTGTCCTTTCTATTTCGAAAACTCCTCCTCCTAAGAAAGTTAATATTAAAATGGGCAAATAACATGTCAATTTTGCAATTCATTAAAGCCTTAGAAGGGGCAGGGTAGGTTTGGGAAGAACCCCATCTTTGCTTTAGACAAACAACAAAAACCAAAACCCCAAGAAATTCAGAAATCAATTTTCATTTGCTTTTTATGTGTCTCCTAAAAGGTATTTTGTGCAGAGGCATTGGAAGAGCTGCCATTTTACTGGGGGTGGGATGGGGTGGTGTGTGTGTGTGTGTGTGTTTGTGAATTTCAGAGTGGAAATTGACTCTGAAAAATGGGGCATGCTGGGAATTTAAAATCTGGTACATTAGGTTATTTTCTCTAAAAAGAAATTTATTTTTGTTTAATATCAACCTTTCTGCATAAACAAAGGTAATTTCTTTCTAAATGGGAATTATCCCTGAATTAAGAGCAAGGACTACTTTTAAAACAGAAAAAAACTATGAAAAATATTATGCCATTATTTTAATAGTCTCATTAGGTCCAGAGAGTTCTAAACACCCTAATACTGCACAGGTAGGTATGTAGAGGAGCTATGTGTAAACGCAACTGCATTTTATTTTAAAATAATAATTATTACTATTATTAGAAATAATATTTATTATTATTATTACTATTATTATTATAATTGGAAACCTGAGTAAAAAGAAAAGTTTTAGACTCTGCTAAAGAAAACTACTGATGAATTAAAAAAAAAATCTGCAAATAAACTAAGACTGCAGTGCTGCCGTGCTGGCAGATGAGTTCAAGCAAATGTGGAAATTAAATATCACCATAGCAATGACAGGTATCTCAGAAATGGGTAGCTCACATTTCATGTACACTCAATGGACATTTATAACCAGGGATCTGGTAGGGCCTGGCTGTAATTCAGAAAGCAACAGACTACTAGACACCTGTCACTGACAAGGGATTTTAGGAGCACAGAACACATTTACAGCAATCATGCTTTACACTTAAATAATGCCATACAGCTTATTACCATGTTTTTGGTAAGCATTATGGTATCTGAAATAGAAACCTCAAGTCCTTTACTTACCTTTGAAGTCTCTGAAAAAAAGTCCCTGATATTTTTTCTTTTTTTATTTGACCATGAAATGGGGTCCTATTATGTTTTTATTGCCCAGAACTGTTTCAAAGGACTAATGTGCCTAGATAGAAGACTTTTAAAAATGTAAAATGTAATCTGAAAGTGTTATTATTATCATTACTAGTCACCAACAATATTGAGAACAGTGAGATTTTCACTTTCAAGTCAGGAGGGGATGTACAGAAAGGAGATAGCACTAATTCTCTTTGCTTAAAACCAGTTTTTCATGGTGGAAAATGTGGGAAAATTTTAAAAATTAAGCTATCCATATGAAAAAAATATTTATTATTATTATTTATTATTATTTTTATTGTTATTTATTTATTATTTTTATTTATGGGGATTTAGATTTTAAAAAGCAGGACAGAATTTCAGCCTCTGAGAAGCATGGATACTATTGGGGGAGAGAGAGAAGGGAAAATAATAAAGATCTCTTTAACTCTAAAATTTTGTAACCTGATAAGCCATGCCTTTCCCTCTGCACCAAACAGCTCAGTGGAGGCATTCTAAATATGGGAAATAGCTGTATTAAAAAAAAAAAAGAAAAAGTAAGAACGCTTCTACAAGGTGGGCCGCACATCACTGTTGCACCTGGCAACATAAATAAATTATCATACAATTAATTGTGATTCACTGCATAAAGTGTCCTAGCAGAATGGTCATAATTATATATAGCATTTGCCTGTACAATTTTAATAAATGCAGCAGAACTGAAGAAACTGATCTAGTAGCCCTCTTCAATTCTTAAAACAAGGAGTCACTTCTGAATGAAGTTAAACAAGAAAAACAAAAAAAAAAAGTGTAGCCCACCAAAATTATTTAAAAAGGCAACAAAACATGGAAATAATCTATTATCAGATAGAAACCAAAAAATGTTATTGGTTTCTATCTTTTTAACATTCTTTGTAATGAGGGTAAGGTATTTGGGCAATAAAAATAGGAAGCATATGCACGTAAACAACACATTTTTAAAGCAATGGATGAATATGAGTGGCACAAAGTAGAAACCATGTCAAAAGATGACACCTGACCTGCATTTTCAGTGGTAGGAATGTGTGGATGTCTTGTTTCACGTGTTGGGACTAGAAATTTAGCAAAAAGTTCTTATCCTAAGTTTAACTAAGTCTTTATTCTTCCTCTTTGCTCTCTCCTCAGTCAATAACTCAGGCCCAGATGGGATACCTCTCTTGTCACTTCAGCAAGATGAAGCCAGCCTGCTGGGAAAGTAGCCTGGTTTGACAAGCTACACTGCTATGGTTTCAGGAAGCAGGTAACACAGGCCAGCTTTGGCCCAACGTATATCAGCTTGTTTTCTGTACAATGCTATATCCCAACTTGCTTGACTACCAAGACCCAAGGAGCAAAAGTATCCTAACATTTTTCCTTCTTATGTTTAATTTTTTTTCCCCTGAAGACAAATTAAAGAGGAGTAAAGGGAAACTTCTAAAATTTTTAATTCCTGACCCCAGATATGAACAGTTTGCTGCAGGATTGATGGTTGCATAATGGTATGAGCCCCCATTCTTGAGAGGACAGCTTAGTGAAGATTTGCTAGGAAGAAGCTTAATTTCTCAAATATGGCAACTGAGGCTCCAACATGTAAGGGACATTGTCAATTTGCCAAGTAGGGGTCAGGTGGGCACCATCACTTGGATCTCCTATCTGTAACCAGTTGTGTCCCTCCCTCCTCCCAGTTCACAAGTTTGCTTCCCAGAACTAAGCTTGAAATATTGAAGTGGGTCTGTAATGGCAAAATCAGTACACTGTCAGATTGAAGGTTCTGTGGCTTTGGGATATCTGAAATTTCAAACTACTTCCTTTTTATGTTTTTGGGTGAATGATAATGTCATTATTTCCCCAGGAAGGCATAAATAAGATGATAACATGGAAAACTGTGATTTGCAGGAGACACATAACAGCACAGTTATGTCAATACTGTCATTAATAAAAACCATCACATATTTTAAAATATTTAACAAACAAATGTAGCACAGCATGAGAAATTGTGATCTTGAAATCCCTTGAAAGGTCTTAGTAAACACAAAAGTTGATTATGGAGCATTACTTTTCAAATTTCATTTAAGTCACAGATTCAGACCAGTGTTAACTGATGCTTTACTTAACTGTGGCAAAAAGAGTTAATATCCCAGATTTGACATAAATTGTCTGCAGTGGAGGGAAGGGCCTGTAGAGGGATGGGGGCACTGAGAGCTGGGGAAAGGTGGAGCGGGGGAGGTGAGGGCCTCCAGAAGCATTCTTCTAGATGATAGTATTTTAAGTTTAATCAACAAGACCCTTTTATTTATTTATTTATTCAAAGCCTATTGGCAGAAGACCTTACCTGTAAGCCTTTTGCCCCCAGCTAAAGCTGCTTGAAAAAATTCACATGCAAACACATATCATAAGTCATAGTCACAGTTTTCCATACTTTGTCCACATCCTTAAAATGCATTTGGAACATTTAATTTTTTTTTTTTAAATTTTAATTGTATTTCAACACAAGACATTCCACTCCCAACACCAACTCCCATTTTTTTAAACCAAGCCCCTCCTACTGTATTCCTTGTATAAGTGTAAATGATTGGCTTACCTCGGGCTCTTCGCTAGTAAAAATAATTATATCATATTTTTAAAACATAGCCACGCCCACCCCCTCAGAACCAGTCCCTTGTGGTTTTGGATCTGGACTTGCCAACAGTGGGTTGTGTTCCCCCCGCCCCCTCCAGCCTCCCACCAGGTAAGGAGAGTGTGTGGAGAATACAGAAATTATGTTTGCAGCCCCAGAGCCCCAGATACCTGTGTGTCTGGTTTTTCAACCGTAAAGGCGGGAGGGTTTGGCGAACGAATGAGAAGTGAGGAAACGCTTAGCGCAAAGGGAAAAAGAGAGAAAGACATACAGGAAAAAGGTTATGGAGGCCCGCGAGAAGCGACCCCTCTTCCCCCGGCCAGCGGCCCAGCGCATTACCCAGGATGCCCCGCCACCTCTCCCTGCATTTTCGCGCCGCTCGCTGCAGAGCGACCGCGCACAGGTACCACTGGAGTGCGTGAACACGGAAAGTTTTTGCCCGCGCCATGGCGCAAATCACAAGACAGCCTGTTCTCAGGTACAAGTACACAGTCGGCGGGTAATTTGGGGGTGCTAGGGATGGGAATTGGGGAACACTTGAGCGTAACATGCACAGGCGGACACAAAATATGGACACCAACACACACCAACAACAAGCTGACTGAGTCAAAGCAGCCGTGCCAGGCGAGGCGGGGACGCGCCTTCCCCAATGACCCCAGCCCACCATGACCCCAACCAACATAGCCAGGGGAGACCAGAGGCCCCTCCCCGGCAGTTCCTGGCTCACCTGAAGCCCCCGCCTGTCCAGCTTACGGTCGCTGGCGCTGGCGCTGGCCTCTCCAGCCGGAAACGACCCCCAGTGTCGCTCGGCTTCACTTTTCTCCCTGGAGGGCACATACTTCGGCCACCCGAACCCACCCAAATCCCTCCCGCTCCCAGGGCAAAGTTAGGGTCCCTCCCTTGAACTTCTAGCAGGATCTTCCCGCCTTTGTCCGGACCCCTCCTCCCACTGTTGAGCCCCAAAACCCACCGGGCAACCCTGCCACCCCCTCCCCGGGTACCCTGGCGGCCCTGCTGCCCACAGGCAGAGTCCGCCGCATTACCTAGAAGCAGCAGGCGGTGTGTACACATGTAACCCATCTTCTCGCCCTGAAGTTGCTTGTCGATGAGCTTGCTGCGTTTCTTCGCTGCGCGCTTCTGGGCGCGCATCTCAATGGCTTCTTTGCGTATCTGTCTGCGCTTCTCCGCCAGAGATACCTTCTTGACCTTGGTGGGGCTCGTGGCAGCTTTGGGCTGGGGACTCTCAGAAAGACCGAAGCAGCCTCCGAAGGCTTGTACGAGGAAGTTGCGGAGTAAGTTGCGCCGGGGCTTTCGGCGACGGCGATTTCGGCGCTGCAACCACTGGAAGCAGCCGGAGGTCCCATCTTCGGACTCATCGCTGGAGGAATCGTCGTCGCCGATTGCCTCCTCCTCGTACCTGCTGCAGCCTCGGCCACGCTCAGCCCTAACCTGCCAGGCAGACGCCCGAGTAGGCCGCGGAGTAGGCGGGTCAGCAGCCTGGATCTCGGGGCTGGGGGGTCTAAGGTGATGGAGATTGCGTCTGGCCCCTGAGACATAGCCGGCAGTGGCTGCCCGGGCGGCAGCGGCTGCCCGGGCGGCAGCGGCTGCTCTGGCGGCAGGAGGGATACGGGCTGCAGTGACTGCCCTGGGGATTGGTTTTGCTGGGGCAGCAGGGACTCTCCTGGCACCAGGATCTTTTGGGGCGACAGAAGCTGCCCCGGTGCCTGGATCTGCTGGGGTGACAGGGGCTCCCTGGACATCTGGATCAGTTGGGGCTCCCTGGGCGGCATCTTTTTCAGCTGGGGCTCCCTCGGCGGCATCTTTTTCAGCTGGGGCTCCCTCGGCGGCATCTTTTTCAGCTGGGATGGCGGGAGCTGTCCCGGCGTCTTGATCGGCTGGGGCGACCGGGGCTCCCCCGGCATCTGGATCAACTGGGGCTCCCTGGGCGGTGTCGGAAGCGGCTGGAACGGCAGGGTCTGCCCCGGCATCAGGATCTGCTGGCGTGGCAGGGTCTGCCCCAGCGTCCGGATCGACTGGGGCGTCAGGGTCTGCCCCGGCGTCTGCATCTGCTGAGGCTGCAGGGGCTGCTCCGGTGTCAGGATCCGCTGGGTCGGCAGGGTCTGCCCGGATGTCGGGATCGGGATCGGCTGAGGCGGTAGGGGATCCGTCCCCTGGAGAGGGGACTTTTCCTTCCTCCGCAGCAGCGGTAGCCGAGCCTCCTTCCATCTCGGCTGCTTCTCCCTCAACTGGGGGTCTCTCTGCTCGCTCTCTCTTATCTGGGGCTCCGGAGACCTCGATGGGCGGGCCGTCATTCGCGATTGGGGGGCTGTCCATGTTGACGGGAGCGTCGTCGACCCCAATGGGGGCGCTGCCAATCTCGAGCGGGGGTCCGGAGATCTCCATCGGGGGGCTATCGACTGCGAAGTTAGAAGCAGGTCTGATAGCTTCTCCGGCTGGGCTGCCGATGGCGCCTGGGACCCAGAGGGGTGGCGCGTTTGCGGAGGGAGCGAGGCTGACCGCACTCGGGACCGCGATTGCCGTGAACTGGCTGCCACCGACGACTTGTGGGATAACTCGGGGGAGCCCGGGAGGTGGGCTGTCATCCCCAAATGCTTCTCTATCAAGCTCAAATGGCATAGTCTCCTCAGGGGGAGGGCTATATCCTCCTCTGAAGCCAGCATTTGCAGGCTGGAGGACTCTGGGCTCCTCTGGAGGAGCTCCAGGGACCCTTGCACCTGGGCCTCCCGGAGCAAGGTCTGGGACCTGCAAGAGAGGTTGGCTGCAGACTCCCTGGGTAGGCTGGTCAAACTCAAAGGGCATAGCTTCTTCTGGTGGAGGACTGTATCCTCCCAGGCCTGGTCTTTCACCCCTGAAGGTTCCGGGCTCCATGAGTGCTGGGCTGAAGGCCTCGAGGCCTGCAGGGGGCCCAATGGGGAACCCAGGCTGCTCCTGGGTAGGCCAGAAACCTCCCAAGCTGGGCTGCTCGACCTCGAAGGGCATGGCTTCCTCAGGAGGTGGGCTGTAGCCTCCGCTTGCTCTGGCTTCCTCGAAGGTCTGGTTGAGGCCCTGGAAGTTAGGCCTGGAGACTTCTGGGGGTCCACAGGCCTCGTCACTCTCGGTGGGGATGGGCTCATTGTGAGGCGATTGGGTCTCCATCTCTTCGGCTGGGCTAGGCCCAGCACCGGGGGCAGCTGCCCCTGGGGCCTCCAAGGGTGGTTGCTCGGGCTGTTCCCCGTTTTCAGGGGGGATATTGCGTTGTCCTGACATATTATTGCCGTCGAGGCGGTTGCGCATGCCCATAACAGGGTGGCGGTCTCTTAAAATATATTGGGGCTCCGTAAGACGGAGCACCCAACCAAACTAGGGTCAAAAATTATTTTCAAAAATATCAAAGTACTAGTTGGAAAGTTCTCCAACCTTATTTTCCAACCCTTATGAGGTTGGGGACTCAGAACCTGGAATCCCTGACCATGGCAGAAGCAACTCAGTTCTTGCTGGTGGAGTCTTGACTCCTTCCTGGTCACTTTTATCCCCTCAGGCTGTCCCCTGGCCAGCCACCCCTTGGCCTACCCTTGTGCCCTCTTCTCTTTCAATGCTCCAGGCCAGCTCCGCCTGCTTGGATATGAGGAGCGTGCCGATTCGGTCCGAAAATCGCCAGTTGCGCGCTCTCTCTGCCACCAGAGGACGCCGGTCCCGGTGAAGAGCTGGATCCGGCTCCAGGAGACCGCTTCAGGCTTCAGCAGCCCCGGACTTTGGGTAAGGGGGCTGATGAGCGCAGGCCTCGCAGGGATGTTTTGGCTCCTTCCTCTCCTCTCCCTGACTGATTTGGAGTCTTTCTCCTCGCTTCTCCCTTGGCCAGAGAGAAAGCGCTCCTGCGTTGCAGGACACGTGACGCAAGACGTGGGCCTCGGGATGCTGGAGTACAGGAGCTGAAACCCTCCCTCCCCAACTGATTCTCCCGGGGGGGGGGGAGGGACTGCAGGAGGGTTTGTATCACCCCAGAATACCTTTGAACCCCTTAGCTGAACCCCCAGTCCCAGGCAGCCACAGATCTTGAGCTCCAAGTACGGAGAATGAGGCTGCAGATGTCTGGGAAGGGGGTATTAATGCGCGCATCGGAATGCGACAGGTGGTCGTGAGCCCACCAGAGGGGTGGAGAGGAGATGTGGATGAGGGGCTGCGAAGTGCGAACACATCATTTGTTTTGAAGACGTTCTAGGTTACTTTCTGCTGCTTTTGCAGCTTTTGTTTGTCGTTTGCCGAGACTGGCTCCGGTAAAGCACTTAAATATCCCCCAACCCCATCACGCTTTCGGGGTTTCCGGCAGTGGCCTCGGGTGGCGCAGGCAGGATTCTCCAGTTTATGTGGATGGTGACGCAGGGGAATAAAAGAGGGTCTTAAACGTGCATGACAGAGAATCTAGCAAAGCCCCCTAGGTGGAAGCTGCAGCCGCAATGATGGGGAAGATGGTGCGGGGCGCACAGTGAGACCCTACCCAGCTCAGGCCTTAGACTTCCGCATCCCGGGAAAGGGTTAAAAAGGGTTTTTGTAGAGGTTTATGGCCAATTTAGGGTGGTCTCAAAGACTAGAAAACGCTACGCGCACCTAATCCACGGTTTCTCAACCGTGCCGCGCCGGCAACGGCGGCAGCGATGCGCTGATTCCGGCTTCGGGCGCCAGCTACAGCTGGCTGCAGGGTCGGTCCGCCAGTACCTCTAATCAATCTCTAGCCCCCTGCCAGTCCCTCTCCTTCCGGGTATGATCCTAGAACACCTGCTTTACTTTTCCACTGTTGTAGTTTGCCGAGGTGGCACTAAGCGCGGCCACAAACCCAGCGCTCGCCCGCAGAGCTGCGCGCCCCTTCCGGAACCACGGTGGACTCCAAACCCACAGAGGGTAAATAACCACATCACCTGGTGGGCTCGATGCATGAACACACACTGCTTTGGGTCTGGCGTCTGCAGAGGGATTTGAGTCTGGGGGGAAATTGCCGCTCCTAGATCACGTAAAACCCGGCACGCACGCATCGTGGTCAGTCTCACTAGCAGGTGACAGGGATTTTCAAACCTCCTTCAGTTGCAAGAGTAGGTGGGCAGCGGGCAGGTGATCACCTTGCCTGCAGAATTCGTGGCGGAGGGACGCCAGATGAGTGTTACGCGAGGTGGGCTGCGGCAAGAAAGGCGCGCCGCACAGATCGCGGTACACGCGCCTCAGGCAGAGGAGCTACTGCACGGTCTGGTTCCGCTAAGTTTAATGTATCCTTCTTTGAACCAGGGTACCACCGCCACGGCACACTATTGCCCCTCTGTACCACCATCCACGTGGCCGCGCTGCACGGAGGAAAGCTGACAAAGTCGGCCTGTAGGTAATGTTTGGGGTTTCCCAAGGGCATAATGCCTCAGCTCGGTGGGTCTACACACTTCCTGATGGCAAGACTGAACTTTGGTTCAAAGTTTGGCCAACTACCCTCATGGTCGATGGATTAAGCATTTAAGAATCCACTGAATGGGCCCACTGGGTACCAACAAGCAACTCACTCCCCTACGACCCCAACACCGGGTCAGCTATTGGGCTGGGGTCACGCCAATCAAGGCTGCCTGGCGAATGAGCAGGGGGCGTCGGACCGGAAACCGGATATGGGTGGGAGGTCCAATAGGGGGCGCCGCGTTGGAACGCCCAAAGAGGTTGTGCTGTTGGGGTGGTTGGAAGCGGTTGGTGGGCGGGCGTACAGCGGCCAGGCCTGGAAGGCCACGAGGATCGCTAGCGCCGTGGGGTCAGTCTTTCTGATGCCACAAGTCGCAAAGGCCGAGTGAGGAGGTCGGGGGCTCCCAGGGGCCAACCTTTGGGTTCGCTAATGGCGGTAGCCTAGCCTACCCAACAGAGGGACCACTGCCGAGGCGAGGCGAACACACTGAAGATTTCCAGGGCCTGGAGGTAGTGGGCCGGGACCCTGGGGAGAGAGCTTACTGCCCCGATGCAGAGGAGCAGTCCAGGATGAATAAGGAGTTGAGGCCCCAGGGATGCTGAGCCCTGCACAAGTGGAAGGTCAGTAGACGTTGGGGTTGGAGCCCCAGCGAAGCTGAGATGGGGACTCCAAAGGGATGGTTTGGTCTCGCCACACCTTTCGCCCACTTCCAGAGCACCATTCATGGAAAAACGGATTCAAGGTCTCATTGGCCTGTGGGGCCCCTTTGTTTCACATTCTTTCTTGTATCATGGTTCTTTGCTAGGGGAGTACCTTGAGAGGATAAAGATTGGGCAGATACCAGTCCCTCCTCCTAAGATACAGAGGAACATACAAATGAAAGAAAAGATCTTTAATTAAAGGAACCTTGAAAGTCGTGATGGCAAAAATGGCGTTTCAAATGGGTTCTGTGGAAGGACAAACACCTTAGCTATGAATAGAAGGGGGCGGGGTTACGTTTGCCTATTAGGAACAAAGGATCCAATGGTAGGAAACTTGGAGCATGGCTGGGTAAACAGAACAGGCCACTTTTGATTGCCAATCTGAGTTTATGCTGTCTACCTTTCTTCTAAATTTCAGACCTTTCCTCCCAAATAATGGGCTGTTAAAAATCTTCACCAGGCTGCCCATATTGGAGGAGTAGTGAGAGAGAAGGCAGGGCAAACTGGATTGGATCTCTCTCAGGATGCCATGAAGCACCCAAGCAAACACCTTTGAGGCTGTTTTATTAGAAGATGAAAAGGCATTGAAAGTTTTTTTGTCCTACAAGTGAGGAATTGAGCCAAGTTTTAGTAAAGGTAGAAGCAATGTGGAAACTGGGCCTGATGAAGAGAACAAAGGAAAGGAGTCATGCACCCAGGAGGCTGAGGGTGCCCCTGACTGTTAAGGGAGAGACCCAGACACAATGAAAGAATTAGGAAGGCACTTAAGAGGAACACAAAAGGTGAAGAAGTCAAAGATGGGCATTGGGATGATGGGATATTGGAAGTAGGACAAGAAAGTGAGGGGAGGACCTGGAGAGGAGTTAGTAAAGATGGTGGGTTGGTAAAGATGGTGGAACCAATTCGATTTCAGACATGGCAGAGATGAAAAAGGATGTGGCAGTCTGGTGGAGATTTTTAACAACCCATTATTTGGAAGAAAGGATCTGAAGTTTAGAAGAACGGTGGAGAACCATAAACTCAGATTGGCAATCAATCTTCCTAGAATTTGAGATCACTGGATCAGAGAAAACTCTCCAGGGAAGAAATATATTTGGTGATAGAACAGTTGGAGAATTGGACAGGAAAAAGGGAGATAGTCCAGGAGAAAGCAGGGAGGATTCAGATGGAGATGTGGGACCACTCCAAGGGAAGGGGTTTTAGAACCAGTGAGCAAACCTAGTTCGTGATTTCTCAGCCTCTGCACTGGTGACAGATATTTGGATGTGGGTAACTGCTGTGGTGACTGTCCTGTGTATTGCAATTTGCTGAACAGCATCCCTAGCCTCTACCCACTAGATGCCAGTAGCATCCCCTTAGTTGTAGCAACCAAAAATGTCTCCAGACTTTGCCAAATATCCTCTGGGGTGCAAAATCACCCCTGGTTGAAAATACTGTTATAAGCTGAGAAAGAACCCATAGACTCAATTTTAAGATAGATTAGTATCAGGAAGAAAAAATCTCAATATTTAAACCTGAAAGTCCCCCCCCCCTTTTTTTTAAACTCTTGTTTATTTTTCTATAGAGACTCTCAGAATTTGAAAACCCCAGATTAACTGGATAAGTGGGGGCTGAGAGCTGAAAAACTTAATGCATCTTAATGCATATCAGTAGTAGGGCTTGAGAGACCCCAGAAGTGTGGGCAGATGTTTGAGGACCTGTCAAGACAGCTGGGTGACCTGGCTAAAGAGACCTGAGGAAACTGGTATGGTAAGAACTGGCTGATCTGCAAGTGGATTGACTAGGGGTCCCCTTGACCAGTTGTCTGGCTGATGATTCTGCTTAGGATTGGTGATCTTGCTGGCAACCCTACTGGGGTCATTGTTTTTAGAGCCAAAGGACCTTAAATGTATATTTCCAATTCCAAATGGATTTGCATCAGGTAAAGATAAATTTTTGAGATATATTAATAGGAATGAGGAAGTAAAGGCTGCTAATGGGTTCATGCAGCTAAGGAAGAGTAAGTCAA